ACTGTGTTTACTGTTGTGCAACTGTAACTCGGAACATTTTAGACCTGTAACTCTAAACATATTACCTGTAACTATCTGAACAATTTAGATGTATAACTATCTGAACATTATAGACTGTAACTCCTATCTGAACATTATAGACTGTAACTCTTATCTGAACATTATAGACTGTAACTCTATCTGAACACTTAAGGCTTTGTGCCAGGGGCTCAGTTTTGAGTGCATATCTGTTTTACTGGCTTATTGTGTACAGGTGGTTGTGCCTTGGTGCTCGGGCAAATGTACTCTGACTTCGAAGGAAGTCCCCAATTAGTTTACTCCTACGACATGCTTGTTGGGGAGGCAATGAGTCTTTTCTTGTTTCCCCCACAAATGAGCCCCGGAACCCACAGGGGGAGGATCTGTCTCTCTGAACCTCATAAACCTTATTTGAACATCTGAAACTCCTACACCTCGCTGAACTCTGTAAAGCTTTAACCATAGCATAGATACATACTGTTACAATGTAGCTCAGCTTCAAGATGAAGTTTTGTACCTTCTATGTCCAACCTTTCCAGCTGCTGTCGGCTGAGGCTCTGTAGAGGGCTAAACTCTGGCACACACTTGATAAAGCTCTCAATGTTGACCTCAGGGTTACATAGTATATCTCTTCCACTGAAAGACAAGGCAGTTGCTTTGGTAATGGATAGGAAGCACAGTACAGATTTAGTCAAAGGTCAGTTTCATAACATGATGATTTAAAAGAAAAAAAGGAAAAGCACAAAATAAAAAAAATTCGTTTGAATTCCAGCTATGGGCGATTTGACAGCAGGCACTGATTCTGACATAGGTATGGGGAACTGACTGTTCTGAACGCAATGTAAAAAAAAAATGTGCATAGTTGTAATACCAGAAACATGTCAAAATATGCTGGGGTTGGTTGAAATATAATGCACGGACAAATGAGATACGGATGTGTAGCAGCTAGATGCTCGCCTCCGGCCTAAATGTCTTGGGTTCAAATCTCTGATTCATTAAACAAAAAATACTTGGCTCCCTGGTTGACCCAGCCTAAAATGGGTGCCAGGTAAAGTCCTGGGAAGTAAAGGCCACTGCATCCATTAAGGTCTGATTGGCGTATGAAAATACAGTTATGCACCAACGCACATGGAGAAAGGCACGCATCGAGCAGATATCATCAACACTGTATGGACTAGTTTAGTGGAGAATAATGAATCTCTGACACTAACATGATTGTGTGACATGGGAGTAGAGAATGGTAAAGCATGGCTATGCCGCCTGCCAGGTCAAGATAAGAGACATTATAACCAGCTCCTTGTGGGAACAATCAGTACAGTTGGCTGCTGTATTGGAGAACTGAGCAGGCATGGAAAAGCCCAATGAGCAGTGACCTCAATAGTGATAACATACAAGTAAAAGCCTAGCATATATGCTCAATGTGCAGTGACCTCAATAGTGATAACATACAAGTAAAAGCCTAGCATACATGCCCAATGTGCAGTGACCTCAATAGTGATAACATACAAGTAAAAGCCTAGCATACATGCCCAATGTGCAGTGACCTCAATAGTGATAACATACAAGTAAAAGCCTAGCATATATGCTCAATTAGCTAAAGGCCTGAACATGGTCCTTTACTTAATGCAGGGGCAAGACACAGCAATACAGAGACTTAGCTTGAAAAATAAAGTGATCCCAATAAAAATGAAAATATAAACAACAAAGCAAGCAAAGATGGCCTGACATCTCCATGCAGCAATAACAACAAGAGCAGTAGAGCAGTACCCAGCAGAGAGCAGACTGACCTCATTAGTTTAGGATTGATGGTGTCAGTCATCCCGAGAAGTTGTCTCCACTTGTTGCTGGACATTTTAACTGACATCAGTAATGTCATGCCTTCTTCAAGTTCTTGCTTCATGCTCAAGGTCCTCTGGTGTCTGTCCTCAGACACACAGCCGATATCATAACCTGTAATCACGCAGAAGAAGAAATTAGATCTGGGGTCCTAAGGGGTTTTACAGTCTGGCAGACTGCTGTTTGACCATCTCTTGATGTTACCTGCCCACATCTGTCTTTCTTCTGCCATCCATCTCTTGATGTTACCTGCCCACATCTGTCTTTCTTCTGCCCACCCATCTCTTGATGTTACCTGCCCACATCTGTCTTTCTTCTGCCCACCCATCTCTTGGTGTTACCTGCCCACATCTGTCTTTCTTCTGCCCATCCATCTCTTGGTGTTACCTGCCCACATCTGTCTTTCTTCTGCCCATCCATCTCTTGATGTTACCTGCCCACATCTGTCTTTCTTTTGCCCACCCATCTCTTGGTGTTACCTGCCCACATCTGTCTTTCTTCTGCCCACCCATCTCTTGATGTTACCTGCCCAGATCTTTCTTTCTTCTGCCCACCCATCTCTTGATGTTACCTGCCCACATCTGTCTTTCTTCTGCCCACTTCAAATTCACTCTTCTTACTGGTGGTTTTACATCAGTTTGAAAAAAAAAATCTTGTAGAAATATTTCATGACTCCTTTTTCCTGCCCTGATGTCTCTCTCTCTATATTCCTAACCTTTCTAAAACCTCTGTACAAAATTGTTTCTGTTTCCATATTCTTATGTATATCAACATCTTCAAGACAGCTAAATTTGTTAACTTTCAGTGTTGCAAATACCAAAGCTTGCTACATATAACTGTCCGTATGTCCAGATGCACAAGACACAAAAAAACAATAACAATTTAACGTAAAAAAATTGAACCAGATAACAAATGTTTGTTTTAGTATCCAGAAGCCATGAGTTGTTAACCCTTAGGCTCGGTATTATGGATATCGCAACCTTTCGGCCTTGATTCCATTGTAAATACCATAAATCTGGGAGAAAATGTGACTTTTCTGCCTACCCCCGGGAGTTAACCCGGACCACAAGGAGTTTGTCACCCGGTCACCGTGCAATCCGGTTTAGCCAACTACGCTAGAGAGCCGGGCAACCAGATAACAAATAAGAGCAACCTTAACAAAAGCTTATAAAACACACACAAAACATCAGAAGCAGAGGAAGGCAATAAATAAGCCTTACCTTTGGGTGTCAGCCGTAAATCTGCGTTGTCAGGACGCAGAAATAAGCGGAATTCAGCACGAGACGTGAACATTCGGTATGGCTCTGTGGTTCCACATGTGGTCAAATCATCGATGAGAACACCAATGTAGCCCTCGGACCTGTTCACGATGAATGGGCCTTTCCCTTGGACGTTGCAGCCTGCATTAATCCCAGCAATGATGCCCTGTGAACAGAGAAACATCAAATCTTTCACCTTCAGACATTCCTCATGTCTTCTTCTTCTTCGCGTTCACCGGCTGTGAACTCCGGCGGAAAGTTCTGGTTGTTTCAGAACCTGAGTGTTGCGTGTAAATCCGTTTGACAGATCTGTATGCAGTCTGTTGGTTCCTTGCCTCTCAGGCAGATGCACTCCGACTTCGAAGGAAGCTCCCAATTAGTCGACATGCTTTTGCGTAGGCAGTGGGTCTATTCTTGTTTTTCCCATAGTAGGGTCCCGGAACCCACATGGGGGGGGGGGGGGGGGGGGGCTTTCCTCATGTGGGTTTGGGAGTTATATTTTACACAAAGAACATACCCCCCCCCCTCACAAGCATGTTGTAGAAAGTGACTAATTAGGGGTGCTTCATACAAAGTTGGAGTGCAGGAGGTAAGGAACCAAGAGTCTGCATACAAATAAACCAGATCTGTAGAACGGATGTGCATGCAAAACTCAAATTCTGGATCAAGGCTAAAGTCCATGAATGCATGATCAACCAGAACTCTCCCCCCGGAGTTGGTACCTGGTGAATGCTAAGAACAAGACTTTCAGACATCTACTTAGTGAGCATGGGTGTCAGGTCAGTACCAGGCTTACATTCCTAGCAGCAGCAAGATTGTTCCCTAACCGATACATGTCATGGGTCCACCCATAAATGTGAGTGCAGGACAATGATCAATTGTCTAGCCAGAAAAGACAGCGAAGAAGAGAACTTGCCATCCCATCTCTTACGTTGTGGTAATACGCCATAATACTGACGTATTACTGGGTTAGGACTAGTTTATATGTCGGCAAAGAGTCAATATCCCATCGCACTATTCTGCTTCATATAATGTTTAGTGTTACTTGTTTCATCTGAGGCTTACCCCTCATGGTTCATGGAAAGCTTTCAGCTCATGGTTCATGGAAAGCTTACAGCTCATGGTTCACTGAAAGCTTACAGCTCATGGTTCATGGAAAGCTTACAGCTCATGGTTCATTGAAAGCTTACAGCACATGGTTCATTGAAAGCTTACAGCTCATGGTTGGTTCATTGAAAGCTTACAGCCTTTGGTTCACTGAAAGTTTACAGCTCATAGTTCATTGAAAGCTTACAACTCATGGTTCATTGAAAGCTTACAACCCATGGTTTATGGAAAGCTTGCAACTCATGGTTCATGGAAAGCTTACAGCTCATGGTTCATGGAAAGTTTAGAACTCATGGTTGATTGAAAGGTTACAACTCATGGTTGATTGAAAGCTTACAACTCATGGTTCATGGAAAGCTTACAGCTCATGGTTCATGGAAAGCTTACAGCTCATGGTTCATGGAAAGCTTACAACTCATGGTTCATGGAAAGCTTACAACTCATGGTTGATTGAAAGGTTACAACTCATGGTTGATTGAAAGCTTACAACTCATGGTTCATGGAAAGCTTACAGCTCATAGTTCATTGAAAGCTTACAACTCATGGTTGATTGAAAGCTTACAACTCATGGTTCATGGAAAGCTTACTACTCATGGTTGATTGAAAGCTTACAACTCATGATTGATAGAAAGCTTACAACTCATGGTTCATGGAAAGCTTACAACTCATGGTTCATAAATGTGTCACATAATGATTAGATGCTTCACGTGTCTAGTGTCCTTGGAGTGCTACAATGTCAATTCCTCATTCACCATCGAAAGGACAACAGACAGCAAGTACCTGTGCAGCAGCCTCCTCGTAGCCGGTGGTCCCATTGATCTGTCCAGCAAAGAACAGGTCGGAGATGAGCAGCGTCTCCAGCGTGGGCTTAAGTTGTCGTGGGTCCATATAGTCGTATTCCACACCGTAGCCTGCAAACAGACAACAATCAACTAAATTCTTCTGGATCAGACCAGCCACTTCATAGATTGTGTTACAAGGCGGACAAAAAAATGGCATCATCATCATCATCAGTTCACTGTTAGATGGCATAAGGATTTCATGTCGCTATAGAGCAGCGGTTCTCAACCTTCCTAATGCCGTGATCCTTTAATACAGTTCCTCATGTTGTGGCGATCCTTTAATACAGTTCCTCATGTTGTGGCGATCCTTTAATACAGTTCCTCATGTTGTGGCGATCCTTTAATACAGTTCCTCATGTTGTGGTCATCCTTTAATACAGTTCCTCATGTTGTTGTCATCCTTTAATACAGTTCCTCATGTTGTGGTCATCCTTTAATACAGTTCCTCATGTTGTGGCGATCCTTTAATACAGTTCCCCATGTTGTGGTGATCCTTTAATACAGTTCCTCGTGTTGTGGCGATCCTTTAATACAGTTCCTCATGTTGTGGTGATCCTTTAATACAGCTCCTCGTGTTGTGGCGATCCTTAAATACAGTTCCTCATGTTGTGGCGACCCTTCAATACAGTTCCTCATGTTGTGGTGATCCTTTAATACAGTTCCTCATGTTGTGGTGGCCTGCCAACCATAAAATACTTTCGTTGTTACTTCACAATTTCAGTGAATATGGTTTTTTTGCGATGGTCTTAGGCGACCGCTGTGAAACAATTGTTCGACCCACAAAAGGGTGGCGACCCATAAGTTGAGAACTACTGCTCTAGAGATCACAGTAGTCCTTGGTATTCTGCATCTGTCTATTAATTCAGCATAGACTGTTCTGGACGAAATGAGTAAAAATAACAGAGAGAAAAAGAAGAGAGAGACGGGGTGGGGGTGGAGATACTGAGAGAGACTTAAAATAACACATGACAGAGAAAGTTAAATACCAACTGTTTATGACACAGCTAAAATTATAACCTGTTATTATAGACAGCCTTAAAGTAAAGGACCCATTTTCACACTCTTTAGGGTTACTGGGCATATAGGGCTAGACCTTTATTTTGTAGACCAATCAGTATCACCTGAGCCATCTTTACTTTCCATTACTTCATCTGGTATCCATTCAAGGCTGGGTCAACCTGGCAGCCAAAGTCATTTGAAAAAAAAAAGGTCAGGGTTTGTCAGCACCTGAAACCACAACCTTTGATCAGCAGGGAAGTGTTTAGCCACTAGACCACGGCAGCTTCAGAGGGTGTTAAAATAACAACTCTTTAGGACATAGAGAGAGAGACAGACAGACAGACAAAGAGAGAGAGAGAGAGAGAGAGAGAGAGAGAGAGAGAGAGAGAGAGAGAGAAAGAGTTAAAATATCTTATTATGACAGGAAAAAAAAACCACCCTAAAATACCAACTCTTTATGATGGAGAGAAGGAGTTGACACGTGCCATGGAGTGACAAGAGTTAAGCAAACCCCAGGTGAACTCTTGTACCTGCTCACACAGCCGCACTGACCTGGTCTGAGCAGCTGACAGTTCTCCAGCCCTGGGATACACCTCATCATTGCCAGCTGGTGTTCCTCAGGCATGGTACAAGACATCCCTTGGGGGTAGATCACTGAGCTCTCCAGCCCTGTTTTGTTGGGGACAGGGAAACAAGCCATTACTTCAGACACACAACCAACATCTCATCCAGAACCCTGTTGTGACATTTAATTTTTTTTTTTACGTCACAGTACTCTTAATGACAATGACCAAAACCACATTTAAATGGTCAAAGGGAAGGAAATCAGTTAAGTCTTCGCTCACCTTGTTGATACAGAAATAAACCGTTCCCAATTTACAGATTTAGTGACCAAAGAATTTAAAAATTAATATCTGTGTGATGTGAGGTCATCAAATAAACAAAAGACACTTTGTCTGCATGTCCTTGGGTTATCTAGGGCCTCCACTCCCTAGATATTTCTTTTATTTAAAAAAATTTAATCTGCTTCTTTCCAGTTCTTAGGTTAGAGTTTCACATAATTACAAGAATGCGTCTTTTCTTTTTTTTAATAGGCTCTGGGGAAAGAAAAAAAGAAGTCAGTAAAGATTCTTGAGGGGTGAAAGAGATAAATACTGAGGACAAACAATATATGCTATGTCAATGTCAGAAATAATATTAGGTTAGAAATGACTAGGTGGTAAATGTTCCTTTTCATCTTCAGATGAGAGCTGGGATCATTATTATATGTCTTATTTTTCTGTGTATAAGATGCCCCCATGTATGAGACAAGTCCTATTTTTCAAGTTCAACATTCACTTATTCATTCATTATCATGAGATGTGTCCAATGTAGTGCCATATTCTCTGTCTTATAACTGATGATATTAGTGGTTGCTCAGACATTTCTCTTATTTCTTCATTCCCTTTGAATTCATCCTATTTTTTTTAAGCCCTGAATTTTTCACTGGGAAAGAAATTGGGAAAACATATCATCTTATACATGGAAAAGTACAGTATTATCTTTCAGTATGAATCAAGAACTATACAGATGTGTTCATTGCTTTGCCAAGTATCTTACTGACCAGAACTTGTCTTCATCCTCTATACAGATGTGTTCATTGCTTTGCCAAGTATCTTACTGACCAGAACTTGTCTTCATCCTCTATACAGATGTGTTCATTGCTTTGCCAAGTATCTTACTGACCAGAACTTGTCTTCATCCTCTATACAGATGTGTTCATTGCTTTGCCAAGTATCTTACTGACCAGAACTTGTCTTCATCCTCTATACAGATGTGTTCATTGCTTTGCCAAGTATCTTACTGACCAGAACTTGTCTTCATCCTCTATACAGATGTGTTCATTGCTTTGCCAAGTATCTTACTGACCAGAACTTGTCTTCATCCTCTATACAGATGTGTTCATTGCTTTGCCAAGTATCTTACTGACCAGAACTTGTCTTCATCCTCTATACAGATGTGTTCATTGCTTTGCCAAGTATCTTACTGACCAGAACTTGTCTTCATCCTCTATACAGATGTGTTCATTGCTTTGCCAAGTATCTTACTGACCAGAACTTGTCTTCATCCTCTATACAGATGTGTTCATTGCTTTGCCAAGTATCTTACTGACCAGAACTTGTCTTCATCCTCTATACAGATGTGTTCATTGCTTTGCCAAGTATCTTACTGACCAGAACTTGTCTTCATCCTCTATACAGATGTGTTCATTGCTTTGCCAAGTATCTTACTGACCAGAACTTGTCTTCATCCTCTATACAGATGTGTTCATTGCTTTGCCAAGTATCTTACTGACCAGAACTTGTCTTCATCCTCTATACAGATGTGTTCATTGCTTCTGCCAAGTATCTTCTATACTGACCAGAACTTGTCTTCATCCTCTATACAGATGTGTTCATTGCTTTGCCAAGTATCTCTACTGACCAGAACTTGTCTTCATCCTCTATACAGATGTGTTCATTGCTTTGCCAAGTATCTTACTGACCAGAACTTGTCTTCATCCTCTATACAGATGTGTTCATTGCTTTGCCAAGTATCTTACTGACCAGAACTTGTCTTCATCCTCTATACAGATGTGTTCATTGCTTTGCCAAGTATCTTACTGACCAGAACTTGTCTTCATCCTCTATAGGGGGGGGGGGGGGGGGGGGGGGGGGGGGGGGGGGGAGTCTACAGAAGGGAGAGTCAACCACTGAAGGGTGTCCATAAGGAAACAGCCTCAGTTCTGCATCTTCACAGTCCACTCAGATGCTTCTTCCAGTCCATCTCTGGATATTTTTCACCAAATCAGAACAGTCTTACTTTTTCATGCTTCCTTTCCGTCTTTCCCCTCAGGAATTTCTGGTAAATCAAGGAGCCATATCTGTTTTGAAGGCCTAAATACCTTAACTGTCCGTTCCTCATCTGAAACTATAAACTAGTCATCTCCTTGTAGGATGCAATTTTTGGTTATTTGAAGCTCCACATTGGCTCTTGCCAGGGGCGGCAATATAGCCCGGCTATAAATATGGCCTACTGGCTGAACGTGGTTTCTGGGACCTCTCCACAGGTGATCCTCATCAATTTGTGTCATCGGGTGTTTATCGCTTGTGTGATGTCCTGGTGGGGTACAACTACCTACCTACCATCTAGTATTTCACTGGAGACAACCTCAGACCTGTTATAGAAGGCCATTGTCCTGCATCTATGCTGGAGAGGGAGACAAAGAGTTAAACTCACCTTCAGGTTCTAACCAGATCTGATGAGTCCTTCCTTTAAATCTCAGAATCTTGGACTCAATAGAAGGGCAATATCTGCAACAAGAACACATGGAAAACAATCAGAAATATGAGTAACATGGGAAGACAAGAATGGAACTGGAAACCAGAGTACAATGGGAAACACGTGCAAGAGAATTGGAAACAAGGTTGATGGGAAGAAATGCAAAAAAAAAATCAGAATCAAAAGTACAATGGGAAGACATGGAACAAAAGACAGCAAAGGACTGACGAACATGAAAAGACACTGCTGAGTATCAGTGATCAATGATAGCTGCAAAACAGAAGCAAATGCTCATATCATATATTCTGCACAATACTGATCCAATGTCCATGTTTTGCAAGGAAGTCCCATCCAGCAAACTATAATTTTACCATTGGTAGAACCTTCATTTGGAAACTGTGGAGAAGAGGTTTTATAGACAAATGATGAGAATACAATGGACAGATACATACAGTAATGAAGATGTCTTGAAAGAAAGTGACTGATTGCCCATATCAGAAAGAGACCATCTACATTCTTTGGTCATGTGATGAGGAGAAAACTGGAGTACATCATGACAGTAGGAGAGGTTGAGGGGAGAAGAGACAGAGGGAGGCAGAGATAAAAGAGGCTGGACAGTTTAACATCATGGCATGGAATATCATCTGTGAGTTGATTGAAAGTACACGAAACAGAAGGTTGTGGACAGACATGACTACCAATGCCCTACGGCATGGACTTTGAGAAGAAGAACCTAATAAATTGCTTTTGCTGTTGCTGAGAGCAAGTGGCTGCACTCTGGGCAAACCAGTGAGTTATTATCTCTCTTAGACACGGAATGGTTTAGATAACAAAACTAAGAGCAATGATACAGCAATAAATTCTAGTTATTACATAATTAACCAGAACAGAGGATTAAACAACATGAGAGATTCGCAGGAGACAGAAGAAATGAAAGAACAACTTGGTATAATAGAATGAGGAGCTAAGCTTCACTACAGAGAATAGGCACAAGAAGATGAAGAAGAAGAAACAAAAACACTGATCCAGCTAGTGCATGACAAATACTTTACCTGGGTCCACGAATTTCTTCCTGTACATGTCGGTTCAGGTGCAGCGTGTCTTGGATGATTTTGGCCACCTGGTCTGTTGTTCGCGTCATGTGACATGGTAACTGATCTTCAGGCTAAATAGAAGTCGGATAAACAGGACAATTGCTCGTTAACTTGTGTATTTATAAAAGTTAGAGAAAATTCTTCTTCTTTTCATTCTCCCTGCCAGTAGTTTTCAGACGAGAATGTCACAGGCCTCTAAGAAAGGCTTTGGTGCAACAAGTTCTCCACTCATTCATACAATGCGGTTTCCACCAGATGCTCTTCATCCATCTGTTAAGATGGTTGACTTCATTGCAGCAGGTTTGATTTAATATGGCTCTGACTCTCTCTGCAGAGCACAGATGGTCACTTCCATAGTGTGTTGCACAAAGCACATACACTATAGCTCCTGCAATGGCCTTTAGGAATATCTTATTTTTAAAAAAAAACTGATTTGAGAACTGATTGGTGACTCCAGAATGTAACCCACAAGCTTCTATGCATAAAGCATGCAGCTTTCACACTTTGCCACGGACACTTGAATATTCAAATATGACTGCATCAGGTTTTTACTGGCTATTAAGAAGACTAAATGAGTTTCAGTAAAGATAAATCATAATTGTTAAAGTATGCTTCATACCAAGTATCTAAAGAAGAAGAAACCGTAGGAGCAAAAGCAGGAAGAAAAAACAGCAGGAGAAGAAGCAGGTGTAGAAGAAAAAGCAGTAGCAACAGTGGAAGAAGAATCAGTAGCAGAAGTGGTGAAGCAGGAGAGGAAGCCGTAGCATCAGAAGAAATGGCAGATGTAGAAGACAAAGGACTGTACCTTTATCCACACAGAATCATTCATGAATGAAAATGGCACTGGGCAGGCATCTCCAAACTTTGGCTCTGTGCGACTGAAGTCTATAGTACGAGCATCCAGCCTTGGAGGTGTACCTGCATGTAAGATGTAAAAGCTCCTTATGGCTAGTGATTTGCCTCAATTTCACAACAGGCATGAGTAAAGTATGTAGTCATAAAAGACCTTATTTATGCCAGTGGCGTATCGGGCATATGAAGCTTCTCGTATTCTTGTAGACTAATGGGCACTTGTGGCTCACATCCCACGACCACCTTTACTTGCCAGGACTTTCCCTGATATCCAGTAAGCTGATGTCAGTTTTTTAAAGAAAAATCGAAACTCAATGCTGATCTAAACTTAAGACCTCAGCTGGGCCAGAAGTGAGCATCTAGCCACTCCACCACTATGGCTGCCGAGAAACTTTAAGTGTAGTCACACAAATGTTGCACATCTGCCAAGATGTGCCACAATCTGAATAAAATATAATGGTCTGTTTCTTTCATGTGAGGAGACTGCAGAGAATTAACAGCAGCTTATCAGTAGCCACTGATCTCTACAGTTAATTACAACCAGGCATGCTGTACAACTATCCACCTACCTGTCTTGAGTCTGCCCATGGCAAAGCCAGCTTTCTCCACAGTTTTGGCCAAACCGATTGCCGGCTCATCCCCTATCCTTCCCGCAGGTCGGGTTGTTAACCCAATGTTTATGGAGCCTCGCAGGAAGGTCCCTGTTGTTAAAACTACAGCATTTGAAGACAGTATTTCCCCAGAGTCTGAAAAAAAAAAAAACAACATAATCGTTAACTGAGATTTGCATCATGGATAAAAAAAAAAACTGTAATAGACTGTGACAGTGCAAAAGTTAGAGGAAAAAAGACGCAACGGGAGACTAACAGAGTTAGCCTGACATCATGGAATGGAAGATCATCTGTGTCAGAAATGCCTGACGGAAAAAAGATAGAAGTATATGGAAAGACATGACAATAGAAAAACATGACAATAGAAAGACATGACTATCTCGTTTTTCTTCTTAGCATTTACAGATGTAAACTGCGGTAGAAAGTTCTGGTTCTTCATACACTTCTGGACTTCAGTCTTATTCCAGAACTTGTGTGCATGTCTGTTTTGTCTTATTTGAATGCAGACTGTTGGGTCCTCAACTTTCACGCAGATGCATTTAAACTTCAAAGGAAACATTCCCAATTAGTCGCTTTTTGCAGCATGCTTATTAAGGGGTCAGTGAGTCTGTTCTTTCGTTTTCTGAACCTCATCACACATAGAGATGTCAGTGTTTCCATTCTTGGCACTCTTGAAGCAAACAGATTTGCCTGATTGTTACTTTTCACTCAAGGATGACCCACTCAACATATCCACGTATTTCGTTTTTTAAGAACTAGGAGAAATAAATGACAATGTTAAATGCATATATTTTTAATCTGACTGAGAATGAGAAATTATGATTGCTAATTTGACTCAGGTACCCACTTGCCACATCAAAGCCTTGATGACCACACTCTGGTTATGGGAATCTTTTTGTTTTTGTAGTAAGAATAAGCGGCAGTTACATGCCTTAAAGAGGTTACGAGTATGGCTTATGATAAACAACATGATACTTAATATTGTTTGAAGTTTCAAGTTTGATCAACGGACCATCATCACGGCACACAGGTAGTAACTCATAAGTGCTCCGTTCTTCTAACTCAAGTCTGAGTACGAAGAAGCTCAGCGCAGTGCACAGGCTCTGCAGCACCGGCGAGGATCCTGAAATACTTTGGGCAGATTTTAAACTCCAAATTTATCTTTCAGTGCCGTTAGGCTAATCTCTTTTCGATTTCCAACTGCCAAAGGATTTTTTTTACTTGCACAACAATGCACATGTGCATCCGAACTCACTACCGAGAGACCAGGGGGAATTACTAAAGTCCAAGTCCACGTGAAAAAAATCTCAGCATTACAGGGCATTGAGCCCGGAACCTCTAGCACTCGAGGCGGACACCATGCCTCGAGACCACGCAGCCCCCTACTTAAATTGTTGGAATCTTTTAAAAATGAAACAAGACAAACCCTAAACAAAGAGCAAAAATTGCGTACCTAATACAACACCCTTACACTTGACAGCACAGCCATTGTGGGAACTGCTCTCTTCCAGGATGAGATCTTCCACCGCTGCAGCTTTGACGGTCAAGTTTGGTGTGGACATAATTTCTGCCTGCATGTGTCCTTTATACAAGTCTCGGTCGATCTGTGCTCTCAGACCCTGGAATTTGTGACAGATGAATGTTAATTACAAATGATGTCAAGTCAGCCAATAAATAGTTCTTAATCAGTATTGATTTTTTCTTCCATAATATTAAAACTGTCAAGATTTTTCTTTCATTTAAAAAAAACAACAACAACAACAACCTATTATAATTAGCAAGTTGCAGGTCAATCAAGAGTGGAAATACTTGATGACAAATATAAGCTCACTTGTGCTTGTAGTACAAAAGAATGAACTGTACATTCAAAGGGCTCCAAACTAGGCACACAGGCCCATCTTACATCAGCTGTTCTAAACACTCATCTCTCACTGCCAGTTTAGGCCCGAATGCTGTCAGTTTACGCCCCAATGTTACCAGTTTAGGCCCAAATATTACCAGTTTAGGTCCCAATATTGCCAATTGCCAAGGTGATAAAGAAGAGATGATTTCAGACAGGCCACCTCATCCTAAAGGTAACTAACCCCAAGATCCAACCTATTATGTATGTCTATAAAGTGGCTGGTGTGGGTTGGTGGAAGGCCAACTATTATGTATGTCTATAAAGTGGCTGGCGTGGGTTGGTGGAAGGCCAACTATTATGTATGTGCTTGTCAAAGTGGCCATACTGGCGAGACGTTGGTGGAAGGCATACAATGCATGTTGTGTAAGGTGATATAAAGTGGCTGGTGTGGGTTGGTGGAAGGCCAACTATTATGTATGTCTATAAAGTGGCTGGTGTGGGCTGGTGGAGGGCCAATGATCCGTTGGAAGATTAAAGGCAGAAGAAGAGAAGTCTCTTCAAGACATGTATTTGCTTTGGCAGTTCTTCTTCTTCTTCTTCACGTTCACCAGCTGTAAACTCTGGCAGAAAGTTCTGGTTGTTCATCCACTTCTGGACCGCAGTCCTGTTCCAGAACCTGAGTGTTGCGTGTGCCTCCATTTGACAGATCTGACTAATTTGTATGCAAACTGTTGCTTCCTTGCCTCTCAGGCAGATGCACTCTGACTTCGAAGGAAGCCTTTAGTTAGTCGACTCTTACGACATGCTTTTTGGTAGGCAGTGGGTCTATTCTTGTTTTCCCTACAATAGGGTCCCGGAACCCATATGGGGATCTTTGGCAGTGTACTCACAGAGACTGGAGGTTTAGACATAGAAACAGAAAAGAGAAGGCTAACAACTTAAATTACCAAATATGGCCAATTTCAAGGCATCAGAATATCAACATACACCAAAACGAAAGCAGCTGACAAATGCGCTATTCATACCAACTTTATGCTATCAGTGCCAGACGTGGACAGTCCTAGACAAGCATAAACACAAAATTACCACATCTGAGATGAGATGTATAAGAAATACACCGGGAAAAACAAGAAGCGACAGAGTCAACAACAAAGGATTAAGAACAATAGTAGGCACAGGACAGTGAATGATTTCAAAGAACATCAAAGAATCAAATGGTCTGGCCATCCGGTCACAATGGAACACAACTCCTTTCTTTGACACTTTACGGCATAAACAAAAGGACAAAAGAAGAAAGACAAAGAAGATTAAGGATTTATTATCTAAGTTAAGACACACTCACCCAAACAGCTGGACCCTTCCTCCTGTTGAGAACTTTATACTGTATACCAGACTTATCTGGGGGGAAAATCAATATGCTTTACCTTTACATTGTATAATAATTACTTTCTAGATATCTACTGTCACTCTGGCACTAGAAAATCAATGGAAGTCAAAAGAAATAAAATTCAGTAATAAACTTAGAAGTGGTAATTCTAATGTCTTTTTCTTCTTCTTGTATCCTTCTGTCAGAAGACCTTATATCAGGAGGCCTATAGACTTTATCAAAGCAACAATGCAGTCAAAACTTCTGTGTGCCATACAGCTTTTTTTTTTTTTTAAAGCTGGAACAGACCATAAGTCAGATTTCAAATCATTATTGCTGTATGAAGCAAAAAGAAAATGGATAACAACTCAAACAGAATTAATATTAAACTGCAGATTATTAGGAAGCCAACTTGTTCTAGCGCCTAGAAGCTCTCGCCTGCAGAAGGTTGTGGGTTTGGAGCCAACTTGGTCTAGCGCCTAGAAGTTCGCCTGCAGAAGGTTGTGGGTTTGGAGCCAACTTGTTCTAGCGCCTAGAAGTTCGCCTGCAGAAGGTTGTGGGTTTGGGTCCAACGTGGTCTAGCGCCTAGAAGCTCGCCTGCAGAAGGTTGTGGGTTTGGAGCCAACTTGGTCTAGCGCCTAGAAGCTCTCGCCTGCAGAAGGTTGTGGGTTTGGAGCCAACATGGTCTAGCGCCTAGAAGTTCGCCTGCAGAAGGTTGTGGGTTTGGAGCCAACTTGGTCTAGTGCCTAGAAGTTCGCCTGCAGAAGGTTGTGGGTTTGGAGCCAACTTGGTCTAGCGCCTAGAAGTTCGCCTGCAGAAGGTTGTGGGTTTGGAGCCAACGTGGTCTAGCGCCTAGAAGCTCGCCTGCAGAAGGTTGTGGGTTTGGAGCCAACGTGGTCTAGCGCCTAGAAGCTCGCCTGCAGAAGGTTGTGGGTTTGGAGCCAACGTGGTCTAGCGCCTAGAAGCTCTCGCCTGCAGAAGGTTGTGGGTTTGGAGCCAACTTGGTCTAGCACCTAGAAGCTCTCGCCTGCAGAAGGTTGTGGGTTTGGAGCCAACGTGGTCTAGCACCTAGAAGCTCTCGCCTGCAGAAGGTTGTGGGTTTGGAGCCAACGTGGTCTAGCGCCTAGAAGCTGTCGCCTGCAGAAGGTTGTGGGTTTGGAGCCAACTTGGTCTTGCGCCTAGAAGCTCGCCTGCAGAAGGTTGTGGGTTTGGAGCCAACTTGGTCTAGCGCCTAGAAGCTCTCGCCTGCAGAAGGTTGTGGGTTCCGGTCCTGACTTTAAAAAAAATGACCTTGGCTCCCAGGTCGACATAGCCTGGAGTGGGTACCGGGTAGGGTCCTCGGCAGTTAAGGCGGCTGGCGTGATGCTGACCACATCACCCACCAAGGGTTGTTTGGTCTATAAAATATAGGCCCTATTTACCCAATACGCCTGAAGGCGGGGAAAAGCGTCCTTTAAATTAGCTTTACTACATTCTTATGCTATTTTATCTCTCTGTGGAGCATAGATTCTTAGTCAACAGTTCATGATGGCTGGATTTCCTCTCAGGGGAGCAAGGATGCTCAGTCAACAGTTCATGATGGCTGGATTTCCTCTCAGGGGAGCAAGGATGCTCAGTCAACAGTTCATGATGGCTGGATTTCCTCTCAGGGGAGCAAAGATGCTCAGTCAACAGTTCATGATGGCTGGATTTCCTCTCAGGGGAGCAAGGATGCTCAATCAACAGTTCATGATGGCTGGATTTCCTCTCAGGGGAGCAAGGATGCTCAGTCAACAGTTCATGATGGCTGGATTTCCTCTCAGGGGAGCAAAGATGCTCAGTCAACAGTTCATGATGGCTGGATTTCCTCTCAGTGGAGCATTGATCCTCAGTCAACAGTTCATGATGGCTGGATTTTCTCTCAGCGGAGCATTGATCATCAGTCAACAGTTCATGATGGCTGGATTTCCTCTCAGTGGAGCATTGATCATCAGTCAACAGTTCATGATGGCTGGATTTCCTCTCAGCGGAGCATTGATCATCAGTCAACAGTTCTTGATGGCTGGATTTCCTCTCAGCGGAGCATTGATCATCAGTCAACAGTTCATGATGGCTGGATTTCCTCTCAGCAGAGCATTGATCATCAGTCAACAGTTCATGATGGCTGGATTTCCTCTCAGCAGAGCATTGATCATCAGTCAACAGTTCATGATGGCTGGATTTCCTCTCAGCGGAGCACTGATCCTCAGTCAACAGTTCATGATGGTTGCATTTTGCAGCAAAGAGTTTTCTATGGGATGAGGTAGCCAAACCCATTTCAAACTTTCTCAGTCCAACCTATATGAGCCACTGTGGTGTAGCAACTAGACACTTGCCTTCGGATCTGAAGGCCGTGGGTTCGGGTCCTGATGGAGTTGGACTTTTTCTCACGTGGCTCCCAGGTCAACCCAACATTAAATGGGTAGGAGGAAAAGTCATGGGAAGTAAAAATAGCGGCATGATGCTGACCACATCTCTCGCCGAGTGCCTATTGGTCTACAAAATACAGGTCTAGCCCTATATACCCAATACATCTGAAGGCACGGAAAAGGGACCTTAATCTAACCTACAACATGGGTTATAGAATTATATTCTGGGATTATCCCCTACTGACATTGGTAGCTGATGGGCAGCATGATAATGCATACATTCCTTTACCAGATTAAGTTGGTGGCAAAGAAGAGGGGTTGAACTACCAATTATGACAACAGACCTAGCAATGATAAACAACCACTGGTGATGGGTGGCCTTACCACAAATCCTCCCGCAGACACCACCCATAGCGTCCACCTCCCTCATGAGGTGTCCTTTACCTATGCCCCCGAAGGAGGGATTGCAGGACATTTCACCTGAAATTACCAACACAGAAATATTCCTTGATTATTCAATTCATACATGTACGTGAACACTGTTTTCTAAAAATAAAAAAAATGTCAGGAGGAATTATACATTGAAAACAAAAAGCAGATAAAATATAAAGTGACTATATGTGTGTTTGCACAACTGGTTTTATGAAACCTCAAATCTCATTGCCTTCATTTTTTCGTCTTAAGTTCACTTTTATCAATACACCACACACAAGTTCTTAATTATGATGGAGTGATGGAGCCATAAGGAGGTATAATCTTCTCCAACACTACACGATGTGGACATGGGAAGATAGATCAAGCTTCTCCAACACTACACGATGTGGACATGGTAAGATAGATCAAGCTTCTCCAACACTACACGATGTGGACATGGTAAGATAGATCAAGCTTCTCCAACACTACAAGATGTGGACATGGGAAGATGGATCAAGCTTCTCCAACACTACACGAAGTGGACATGGGAAGATATATCAAGCTTCTCCCACACTACACGAAGTGGACATGGGAAGATATATCAAGCTTCTCCCACACTACAAGATGTGGACATGGGAAGACAGATCAAGCTTCTCCCACACTATAAGATGTGGACATTGGAAGACAGATCAAGCTTCTCCCACACTATAAGATGTGGACATGGGAAGACAGATCAAGCTTCTCCAACACTACAAGATGTGGACATGGGAAGACAGATCAAGCTTCTCCCACACTATAAGATGTGGACATGGGAAGACAGATCAAGCTTCTCCAACACTACAAGATGTGGACATGGGAAGACAGATCAAGCTTCTCCAACACTACAAGATGTGGACATGGGAAGACAGATCAAGCTTCTCCAACACTACAAGATGTGGACATGGGAAGACAGATCAAGCTTCTCCAACACTATAAGATGTGGACATGGGAAGACAGATCAAGCTTCTCCAACACTACAAGATGTGGACATGGGAAAACACAAGTTACTCCAATTTTATAAGATGGAGGCATGGGGAAATATAATTTTCTCTTACAATAGAATATGGAGATTTACAAGTTCCTGTACCATTTAATAATGGCAATAAAGACACACCCACATTCCACTACCACTGGTAATCTTAGTTTCAGCTTCATAGCAAACGAGTCACCCTATAGTTGCTTCGCTCCTGTGCCAATGAAAAACACACAGAATGTTTATCACAGTCCCGTGTGGAAAGATTGAGACTGCTGTCTCAGCAAATGCACTAGCATACACACACATTAAAAGCATGGTAGCCATCCCAAGTGCTAACACAAATAGTCCAACATTAGAAATGCAGTTCATCATGGATGGTAGCAAAAGTCACCAACAGATCAGCAGCTGCACACGAGATCAATTTTAATCACATAATCCCCCGTGTGGGTTCCGGGGCACCATTGTGGGGAAAACAAGAATAGACCCACTGCCTCCCCAAAAGCATGTCGTAAGAGTCGACTAATTGGGAAGCTTCCTTTGAAGTCGGAGTGCATCTGCCGGAGAGGCAAGGAACCAACAGTCTGTATTCAAGAGAATGAGATCTGTAAAACTGATGCACACGCAACACTCAGGTTCTGGAGCAGGACTGCAGTTCAGTAGTGGACGAGCAACCAGAACCTTCCGCCAGAGTTTACAGCTGGTGAACGTGAAGAAGAAGAATCACATAATGGTGCCACCAATGCTGCGACAACAGGCATCGTGCCATTTTTCTGAATCTACAATTCACACCACTACTCACAGTGTCACACCATCTACTCAACTCAGAAGATGGGCGATGAGACTATATCCTTACAAATGGAGCAAAAATGCAACGGCCACCTTCAATTTGTCATGGCTCAAAACAGTGGCTGTGCCTAGTGTCCATTTTGCCTAGGTGGTGGCATATCTATCTATCTATCTATCTATCTATCTATCTATCTATCTATCTATCTATCTATCTATCTATGCATGCATTTATGTATGTATGTATGTATTATGTGTATGTATGTATTATGTGTATGTATGTATGTATGTATGTATGTATGTATGTATGTATGTATGTATGTATGTGTATGTATGTATGTATGTATTATGTGAATGTATGTATGTATTATGTGAGTTTGTATGTATGTATGTATGTATGTATGTATGTATGTATGTATGTATGTATGTATGTATGTATGTATGTATGTATGTATGTATGTATGTATGTATGTATGTATGTATGTATCTATGTATGTATGTATGTGTGCATGTTTTTATGTATGTAGATGTATGTGTGTACTGGGTGCCTATGTGTTTGTGTGTAAGTGAGTGATTGGGCTTGTGTGTGTATGTGGGTGTGTGTGTTCTCGCGTGAGCGTGCGCACATATTTTATCACCCATGCTTTTGTTTTTGACTTTATATATATAATATGCATATTATTACATAAATATAACATGCTTCATTGATGAAATACAACTGCTGTGTGAAAGATGGAAGTTTGGAAGGGCTGAATGTAAGACAGGCCTGCGTGCCTAATTTGTAACCCTTTGAAAATAAAGTTTGTTCTATCTATCTATCTATCTATCTATCTATCTATCTATCTATCTATCTATCTATCTATCTATCTATCTATCTATCTATCTATCTATCTATCTATCTATCTATCTATCTATCTATCTATCTGTCTGTCTATCTACCTACCTATCTGTCTGTCTAGCTATCTGTCTATCTATCTTTCTTAAACACACAGACATAAGCCCTTGTTGTCACCGAGATTGTGTTCCGCTGTGCATGAGGATGACAAACCATGGCAATGGAAAGTGTGACTCGCGATAAGAAGAATCTTCCAGTCTGTGATACATGAGAGAGAAAAACTGGCCTAAATTAAAAGTTACTAAACTTGTCACACTGCATGCTAATATAAATCAGCCAATCAACAAACAGACCTTTGCAACAGAAATTTTAAAAATTACAAATACAGAGACACTAGCATATCAGTTATTACCGATGGTGCTCAATTTATGAGTGACAAGCACAGTTTTTGCTCCCATTCTGGCTGCAGCACAAGCTGCCTCAGCCCCCGCATGGCCACCACCAACAACAACAACTTCAAAATCACAAGTTCTTGTTGCTTCTGATCCTGTTCTCTGTCTGTAGCACCTAGGAAATAAACAAAGAAAACAGAATAAAGAATATGTAAACTATCAAAAAGTTGTTATTTTACAGTCAGTTACGACTCAACTCAGTCAGTCCAAGTCTGTGTTTTGTTTCTTGTCGTTCTGCTTATAAAGGTTTATTGCTGCAATGGCCTTTGTTTGTTTATTGTTATTGGTTCTGTAAAGCAGATATATACTTTATGTGTTTATAATTGTTTTCTAGACTATCAAATGTTTATTTAACAGATAATACCTTTCTACAATACATTTTTAACATGAGTCAAAGCAAATAATCCAGTAAATCATTAAAATAAAACTGTCCCAAAATATAACATAAGCTGAAATATCAAAATAAATTTAGGATATATGTAATAATACAGGTATTAAAGTCCCAACCACAGGAATGACAGACGTACTGCTGTGGAAGAATGCTGTTCTGTAAGGTTAAGGTATCACACTAAAAATCCAATCACAAAATTCACAATACAAGGAGGATATAATCTTTTTCTGTGTTCATTTTTAAAAGAGCATCTGGCAGTCTGTGTTGTGGTTTTAAGCAGGGCTGCTATTCCGCGTCTTTCGGCTCAACACATCCAGTTTTAGGAAACACTGAATTAATTGCTTTTATGACATGCTTGTTAGAAGACAGCAAAGCTATTTTTTTTTGGTTGGGGGGGGGGGGGGGGGGGGGGGGGGCTGGCACATAGAGAGGAGGATAACATCAACAGATGGCAAACACGTCTCAGAGAGTGCATAAACAGGATGAACCACAGAGTGTTGGAAATGCATTACAGCCAATTTTCATTGCAGAGATGACACCTGACTGACTGATGATTCACAACTCCCAATTCTGTTCTGGGTATGTTCACTGATGGTTGTTATTTCAGCTTGTAGCAACTCAGTCAAGCTAGCCTTGTTACACGTTTATCAGAGATGTTGTTAGAAAGCAAAAGGTGATGAGGAAGAGAAATTACTACCTCACTGGTCAATACGGCGGATAGGTAGGTTTTACTGTTTTTAGTCTTGGCAACTATTTGCTTCTGAGAAAAGTCAGCTGTTGCATTCTCCTATATGTAGGCTGAAAAGATATAGTTCCATCACCTAGCTTCTGAGCTGATAGCATTGCGCGACACTGTGAGCTGTGGATTTAATTTGGAATGCTTTTTTGACTTTGTCCAACGTAGTTTTTGTTGTGAAATGCAGATTTACAAAATGGCGACTGGCCTGTTGCCAGCGCACTTGTAGTGCCTTATGTAATAAATTGCTGCTGTTTTGTTGTAGCTGCTGCTTCCTCTGACGATAAAGTGCATTTCTGCTGTCGGACTGTTTGTGTTTCCCTTCTGCAGCTGCCATATGCATTTAACACTATGGGACTTGATAAAACTGCAGTAGGTGTCAGTTTCTCCACAAGGGACAGTAATGAACATTGTGGGTGGCTTCTGCTGGAACAGGAATGGAGCAGCAATGGGATGACTCGTTTGCTGTAAAGTTGGAACTGAGATTACCTGATTACTTCTTTAGACACTCTGGTCAACTCTGAATATGGTATGTTACAATGTTGTTATCTGGTCAACTCTGAAGATGTTATGTTACAATGGTGTTATCTGGTCAACTCTGAAGATGGTATGTTACAATGTTGTTACTGTTTGCTTCCTTTATGAGTCCTAGTAACATGCAGGCTGTAACAAACACTAAAAATGTTGAGACCTTTCCCTATTTCCAGACTAAGGTGTTCCACTGTGCTGCAGGCAAACAGCCCATGGCAATGTTGTTTTCTTCTTTTCATTCTCCCTGCCTGTGATTTTCAGACGAGAGTGGTTTGTTGTGCGACACATGTCTTTCACCATTTCATACAGCTTGGTTTCCATTGTACTATCACCCTTCCAAACCTGAAACTTCTCAACTAGCAGTAGATGGGGAGTCTGACTGGCAAGACAAACTAATGTTGAGAGGAATCTTTTACAATAAGTGCATGAGATTTCAGAACCGCTGTTACCAACATAGGTATCTGGCATATTTCTTCTCAGATGCTCAGCTCTCAACCTGTCTGCAACCTTTTCTCCTTTATCCATATTTTCTTCTGAATTATCTCCATCCATGTATATGATCAACGACATCCTGTTGCAACTCAATACCTGTATAAAAAAAATATTCTAGTGATTTATAACTGTGAAACCTTTTGGTTTTTTTGTTTTAAACTGAGGATGGAAAAATCTCTGTGACACGAATATATCTATGTCATTTAAGTTAAATGACTATACAGAAGAGTGAATCAGTAGCTGAAAATTGTGCACTGACCTCTTTGGAAGCCATCGACAAATGTGTGTCGAATGTCTACATAAACTGAGTTGTTCACAAGACCGTGGAGCACAGTGTGTTGTCTGCCGCTGAAGGATTGTTAAACATGGAACCCAGGATATTCTCATTTGTGGACGTAACATTTTGTTTATTTTATTGGCAACAAATATCTGCTCTGTTAATACAAAAGAAGGTAGTGAATCTGATCGTCTTGAAGACGGTCTTCGGATTTGTGATCACTTTATATTAACCTCAGTTTTTAGTCTTGTCTTGAGTATTTAAAATGAAATGTTGTTTTGGAAGGCTGATACCGATAACGGAAAGTAAGTGAGTAGTAAAGTTGAGTAAACTCAAACTGGAGGTATATAATTTACAGATTAGCATTGAAAATGTGCATCATTTAGAAACGCGTCGTGTTTTATTACGATAGCTTTTTTTATCCAGTTTGTATGCATGTAGTTGTATTTTGTAACCAATCTATGTTCGTTCAGCGATAGAACAGCGGTGTCCTTCTGTACTCCTCCATGCGAATCTCAATAAATACAATCGAAGTAATAGAGAATGACCTCCCATGTCTTCGTTATCATAAGCTTTCGTTTTTATATTCGTCAATAGTATCTTATCTTTTCTCTACTCCTGGAATGCCTTGCAGCGTCTGGGCAGTAATAGGTCTCTGGAACGGGACCTTTTGCTCGTCTCAACTAAAGTATTTTTCAGTGTCTTTGATATTTACGATGTTCATTTTCTGCTTTGTTGACCTCTGGATCTGTTATTACTGTATCTGTATAACATTGCTCTCTGTTGTGCCAAAACCGTCTCCATCTGACGGGCCATGCTGCTGCCGTCAGCGAACCGGGCTAACGTTAAATTTTTACTCTGACGGTCCCGTTTTTTTTTCGGTGTGATACCCACCGTCCCTCTCCCCCCACACACAAATTATAGGAATAGGCTTGAGAATTAAACACACACACACACACACACACACACACATATATATATATATATATATATATATATATATATATATATATATATATATATATATATATATATATAGTTACTCACAACATTACAACATAGAAACATAAAGTACAACATTTCTAGCCTTAAAAAATCAAACAAAAATTGCTTATCAATATTGTTTCATGCAGTTTACACGTATATTTCAGTGATAAAATAGGTGAGGGTTATTTGAAAGTAAACATTGCTTCCGAAGCGCTGCCATTTCTAATAGATGTTTTACTGAATAACTATAGAAATGTCCAAAACCATACATCCTTGCTCGATAAATCATCCAAGAAAAGAAAACTGGCTAAGTTCGCTCAATAAATTAAATTTACAGAGGATTATGTGACTACATTATGGGACATACTGCAGCTAAAAATGTAACTAGTTTATGTTCTACTTTATGTTTCTAGGTTGTCATGTTGTGTGTAACTACATATATGTTTAATTCTCAAGCTTATTCCTAGAATTTGTATGTAGACGACAGGGAAAACGCCGAAAAAACGGGACTGTCAGAGTGAAAACGAATCGTTAGCCCAGTTTGGTGACGTCAGCAGCATGACCCGTCAGATGGAGACGGCCTTGGTAGTGCCCCGCCTGTTGACAATCTGATTACTTGGGCAAAACCATTGGATCTGTTATCTACCGATAAATTACAGTTTTGTTTATGTGCCGACTGTCCTCCTGACAGCATCATGAGTCACGACAAAGGTGTTTCTCCTTCAGCATGGAACCTCTTCGTTGGCTGTTGAGGGATGGGACAGAGCACGTATAGGAATGTCCCGAGCACAGTAACTTCAATTCTAGGTTTGTTATTTCATTCTTGTTCTTTAGTCCTTCTATTAGAAAAACAAATAATCAGACGTCAAGTAGCCTTGACAAAAGCTACCGTGCAGTCAAGATACCCCAGCAGGCCAAACCTCATTGGACCGCAGGTTACTTCGCAACTGCTGCGTGTTGGGAAACGAGCAGACAGACCGACTGGCTGGATCTGCACCACTTAGTGGTGAATTTATATACGACAAGCTAGATTTTGTGTGGAGCTAGTGAAGCACAGATAGATCCTTACGGTCTGCGAAGAATAGCGCTGCGAGGAGTTACCAGGGGAAAGGGAGACGGATAAAGTGTTTAAAAACTGTACCAGAGCTCATCACACACTGTATATTACAGTAGCGCTGAAAAAAATGTTACCTCAAAGGGCGAGAACTACCTACTACCAGGAAGAAAAAAAACAAGATGGTGGCGGGGGGGGGGGGGGGCGCAAAGAGTCTTCAAGCCCAGCCCATCGTCTTCAAACACAGCCCATCGTCTTCAAGCCCAGCCCATCGTCTTCAAACACAGCCCATCGTCTTCAAACCCAGTCCATCGTCTTTAAACCCAGCCCATCGTCTTCAAACCCAGCCCATCGTCTTCAAACCCAGCCCATCGTCTTCAAACCCAGTCTATCGTCTTCAAGCCCAGTCTATCGTCTTCAAGCCCTGTCTATCACAATCTGTCTGCAGTGTTGAGCGACTAGCCACGCCTGCTTTCTGATTGACGAGCTCGATGCAAAGGGGCCGAACCACATATAGCGAAGCACCAGGTCACATCATCGTCAAGACTTATTTACAGCTCTCCGTGGTCATCCTAAAAACAGGTTCCATATCGGGGCTCTGCTCAACTATATGGGATCAGCATTTCCTTCCAAGATAGGCTGCATCTGTCGGAGAGGCACGGAATCACCAACCAGTCTGCCCACACTTAACCCGATGTATAATATGGACGAAGTCGAGAAGTGTACGAACAACCAAGACTTTCCATCAATTTACAGCATCTGAAGGCAGAGAAACGGACGCGCTTGCTGCTAAATCTGGTGTACTGTTACAGTATAGACTTATCCAACTTCAGTTCGGAATTGTGTGCTCAGTCTATTTGTGCATTCAGTTGAAAATTCTTGTTTTCTTTTTCGGTCGGACTTTAACAGCGACGATAATGGCAGCTCGTTCTTTTTTAGCAATTGCCTATGTTCTCTGTCATCATCTTCGAGTTCTGTTAAATTATTATTACCGTGAGATTGTGATCTGTGAATCTCAGCATCCTGCCGCCCCCCTGCAGTGTTGCCACTTTGGATCTTTTGTATCCAAATTTAGATCTTTTTCATTGCGTTTAGATCCTGTTTTTGACGTTTAGATACTAAATATTTTTCTAGATTCTTTTCATATGGAGTTAGATATTTTATAGATTTTTTTTTCTTTTAGTGTCATTTTAATAATTATTTAGTAAAATATTTACTAAAATATTTTTGTTTTGGTCTGGCACGTACATTGTGGCAACTGCCATTACTTAAACTTTGAACTTTGAAGGTCAACACTCAAATATCTGACAACCCCGGTGCTGATTAATCGAAATCGCGCGTAAATCATACTAACTTTGTTTCAACCGTATCCTCACTGTGTTGTGAAGTATAGCTGTGATGCTGACTCTGTGTTTCTTTTTCATGTGATTTTAAAAAAATAATTGCTCACCTTCTTGTGTGGCTTTCACTTTGAATAAACCTTTCAACATGCCAAAAGTAAAGTATGAGCAAAAATTTCGGAAAGAGTATTTGCATGATGACAAAATTAAAGACTGGGTGATGGCAGTTCCTGGGGATATAACCAAGGCTCTTTGTAAGTACTGCAAGTGGGAAATTAAAGCGAAAATACAAGACTTAAAGAAGCATGCAGAGACTAACAAGCATAAAACTGCAGTTCCATTCAAAGATATTACACCGCTGACATCTGTTTTCAGAACTACACTGATAAATGAATCATCAAAAGTTAAAGGGTCGGTCGCAATGTTTTTAAGTTGCCATTGTGCAATTTCAAACTGTGACCATTTGATTGATTTGTTTAAAAACACAATTTCTGACAGTAAAGTTATGGATGATGTGAAAATGCATCGCAGCAAGTGTACACATATTATAAGAAATACTTTATTTTCTCACTGCGAAAAAGATTTGATCAGTGATATTTCTACAAATAAATATAGTTTATTATTAGACGAATCAAATGATATTTCGGTACTGAAAGTGCTTGGTGTGTGTATTATATATTACAGCAACAATACAGACAAAGTAGTTTCTGCATATCTTGGACTAGTTCAATTGGAAAAGTGTGATGCAGAAAGTATAGTTCAAGAACTGAAGAACCTTTTAATCAGCAAACAGTTCGACTTGACACATTTGGTTGCAATTGGTACCGATAATGCCTCAGTGATGGTTGGCATAAACAATGGCGTTTATGCCAAGTTGAAGGAAGCTATTCCATCGTTAATACTTATAAAATGTATGTGTCATTCATTGCAGCTAGCATTATCACATGCTTCATCTAAATATTTACCAAGGAATTTGGAATACCTTATTGCTGAAACACATAACTGGTTTTCAAAATTATTTGTCAGACAACAGCAATACAATGCATTGTATTCAGCCTTAAATAATGGTTCCACACCACTGAAAATTCTGTCAGATTGCAAAACCAGGTGGTTATCAATACAACCAGCTGTTGAAAGAATTGTGAACCAATGGTTGGAGTTAAAGACACACTTTGAAATAACAAGACAAAGTGAAAAGTGCTACACAGCTGAGATACTATATGGAATGTACAGTGATGAAAAAAATTTGGCATTCCTTCTCTTTTTACAACCTATTCTAATGGAAGTGCAAAAAGTTAATAAACTGTTCGAATCCAAACATGTTGATAAAGTTAAATTACTTGACGATCTCACTTTGCTATTTTACTCAGTTGGTAAAAGACTGGTCTTGCCAACTTCAAAAGTTGATTTGCTCACTTGCACTATAGAGAGCTATTTGGCTCCTAAGCCATACCTTGGATATCAAATTGAATCAAAAATTGATGATTTAAAAACAAAAAGAATGTTAGAGAATGAAGAGAACAACTTTAGAAAACGTTGTCAAGATTTCCTTATCTCATTGTTCAAGCAACTAAAGCAGAGACTTCCTGAAAATCTAGATGTTTTGAAAAATATTTCACTTTTTTCTGTGAGCAACATACTTCAGCCAAGGACATACCTAAATATTGTAAAGTTATGAAATTTTTAGGGGCTACTGATAATGGTGTCGCGGAAGCAGAATATCAGTTAACCAAAATAAACTTAG